TGAGTGAAGGAGCCGGTGATGGTGGACGGGTGGGAGGGGCGGTGAGAGGGCTGGAGAAGCGGGATGGAGGCCAGGAAGAGAAGGAGAGCTCTGGAGTGGTGGTGCAGAGCGTCTCCTGTTCCCTCTCTGACCAGGCCACTGTCACATGGGAACACACTGCCACTCCTCGGATGGCCTCTGAGGAGTTACTGCAGATGCCAATGAGCCCCAGCCCTCTTCAAAAGGCCCCAGTAAATCCCTCTCTGCCCCACCACGAACTCCTCCTTAGGAGTGTCCTGACTTCCTTCTCTGTTCTCCAGTTGTCCAGTGTGCCACTCTCTGGGCCCCCCAACTCCTCCCACCAAGTCTGACCCGCAGTGCTCCAAGGAGGGAGCTCCCCAGGCCCGCAGGCTGAGCCCAAGTCTCCTGAGAAACGGGGTTATCAGAGCTGATTATTCCTGCTTGCGGACTGCCCTTCCCTGCCAGGCCCACAAATACTCTTTTCTGGCCCTTGGAGAAACTCCAGTCTTATTCACCCAATAAATCCTTACGTGACCCAGAGTGGGTGGGAGGGGACCCACGTGAGTTTCGATGATGGTCATTTTGAATGGGGTTCGAGCTAGACTGAGAGGACTGAGACACAGAGGTGGGGGGACCACAGTCTTTACTGGGTGAACACCAGGATGACCCTGACCACCTGCCTAGGTCGAGGGAGGCGTCTGGGGTGCTCAGGTGGGTTTTTTATCTGCGATGCAGGCATAGTCGGCGCTGGGGTCCGCCTTGGTGCCTTCCTCGTCTCTGCCCCGGGGGTCAGGTCCCTGGCCACTGGGCACTGGCAGCCTCTGCAGGGAGGCATAGTGGAGCTCCTGCTCAGAGAGCTGGGCCTGGGCCAGGGCAGAAGGGGCAGTGAGAGGAGCCTTGATGGCTAGGAGCCCTCCCTGCAGTTCTGCCCCCCCCCCCTGCGCCCCCCCCCTGCGCCCCCCCTTCTTATCTCCCAGCCTCTGCGTAGCCGCAGCCATAGCGCCCCCACAGCGCCCCCACGGCACCAGCCTGGGCACTTGTTCCTCTCTTTCATTGCTTTTGCTCTTTGTCTCTCACTCCTACCTTCTCTCTCCTACTTTTTCTCATGGCTTCTCTTTCTCTCTCTCTCTCTTTCTCACCCTTATTTCTCTGCCTTTCTCATGCTCCTGCTTTCTCTCTCCTTGTCCCCTGGCCCCAGACCTTCCTCCTGGCTCTCAGTGGGTCTGTCCCTGCCACCCCTCGGCACTTTCTTGCCCTCCCTGGCACTTTCTTGCCCTCCCCGTCCCGGTCCCAGACTCACCCAGCTCCTCTCCAGCCTCTTCACTGGAAGGAAAGCAGCAGTTCAGCACAGCCCTGGCCTGTGTGGCTCGGGCCAGGCGGGCCGCCTTCGCCAACCTCCCCCTCCCACAGCCCTGGCCTGTGTGGCTCGGGCCAGGCGGGCCGCCTTCGCCAACCTCCCCCTCCCACAGCCCTGGCCTGTGTGGCTCGGCCCAGGTGGGCCGCCTTCGCCAACCTTCCCCCTCCCACAGCCCCGGCTCTGTGTGGCTCGGCCCAGGTGGGCCGCCTTCACCAACCTCCCCTCCCACAGCCCTGGCTCTGTGCGGCTCGGGCCAGGTGGGCCGCCTTCGCCAACCTTCCCCCTCCCACAGCCCGGCTCTGTGTGGCTCCGGGCCAGGCGGGCCGCCTTTGCCAACCTCCCCCTCCCACAGCCAGAGCCCTGGCCTCTCTACACCCTCTCTCCTCTCCCTCCCACTGCCCCTCCCTCCCCGGCCTGTCAGGACTGCTGGGGAGGCAGCAGTAAAGGGGTGCCCAGGGCCCTGCTGTGGGTGCACGAGGGGCTGGGGCTCACCTCTGCGATGGAGCCGACACAGGCAGGCGCACAGGATGGCCACAGCCAGCAGCAGGAGTGCCCCCAGCCCCAAGCCTCCGTAGAGGTAATGGCACCAGCCTGTAGGGGAGAGGGCCGAGGGCCAGCCCAGCCGGCCGGTTGGTGGGTTGGTGTGGGTTTCTCAGATCCGCTCTCCAACACGTTTAGAGGCAGGAAAATATATTCTCAGGCTTCTTCACCCCAGACCCGCCAGAGGGTTCTCCCTCATCAGCATCCTCGCCTGTCTGAGACGGCTCTCCCCTCAGAGGCTCCCGCACAATCCCTGCTGTTTCTGGGCCTCCCACGAAGTCCCTTCCCCTCCTGCACCGGCTGCCTGAGAGGCCTGACACCAGTCAGGAAGCGCTCACGCCCCTGCGCACCCTCACTCCCCAGCACCCAGGCCCTGCCTGTGCAGAAGCGAGGGGCCCTTACTTACTTCCATCCTTACAAGGTGACATTAGGTCGGGAGGAAGGACCGCCTGGAGGTCAGGAATCCTAGGCCCTGCTCTTTTAGGCTAAATGGCCCCGGGGGCTAGTCACGTGCCTCCAGTTCCTTATCTGTAAAGTGAGGGGCCCTCTGTTACAATCGGCTGAGGAGGCCTACCTATGTGCCAACCCTGAGCTGGGCACGTTCCATTTGTCACTGCTAGTCCCCACGACAATGTAGGATGTTTTGGTGCCACTGCCAGGTGAGGACCCAAGACTCAAACCTGGGCTTTAGGAGGCCATCCATGCCAGAAGGGAGCTGGGTTCAAGGCCGGTTCTGTCCAGCCCCAGAGCCCGCACCCTTCCCTCTGCCCTGGGCTGACCAACACTGAGTAGCTCCAGGTGCTGGTGAGGGGCTGATGAAGGGGAAGGAGCTGGGGTGTGGGTGAGTGTGTACACAGGGGAAAATACAGAAGGTGGTGTCGGGCATCCAGCAGCTGGGCTCCAGCCCCAGAGTGTGGAGCCCACTGGGCTGGTGTGGAGAGCTGCTTCCCACAGACAGATGCTGCTGGGGCTGAAGTGGGGCATGGAGGACCGTCTGGGGCCCCATAGCTTCCCCTCAGGGACTTCCTGTCCTCCAACCACTGGTTCCTGTTTGAGGCCAAAGAGGGGGGCTGCTGACTTCGCCCCAGAGCCAGAAACATTGAGTGTGGTCTAGAAACTGAGATCCTCCAGGCTTTAAGAGGAATGCTAGGGGTGGGGTAGCAAGAGCCCAGGGGGAGGAGAGAGCTGGAGTGGCCATAAGGGCTGTGGGATCAGAAGTGGATTGTTTTTAATTTCTTTGGGGAGCAGAGACCCACAGGCTGGACAGAGGATTCTTCTAGGGCCCAGAGAACCTCAAACCCATACTATCTCTCCCTTCATCTTAGCCTCACCTCACTCTGGGGCGAGACTGCCCTTCCCGTATGGTGTCCCTCCACACCAGGGTCCCTGCCCACTCCCAGCTTACCAAGAGCCTGTGGCCTGCAGGGTGGACAGACTCCAGGGTGGACAGACTCCAGACTGGCCAGAGCTGCTGGTTGAAGAGAAGTGTTGCCACCTCAGACATTCCTGCCCCTCCCCTGGCTTTAACTTCTCCCCCAGCCTGGGCACCTCCCTGGCTTTGGTGGGAGAGGAAGTTTGGCTTGAGGGTTAGGGTTACAACATCTTCCTTTCAGGCTCCTGAGACTGTAACAGGGGCTGTCATCCCCTCAGCTCCAGCCAGCCTCCTTTTTTTTTTTGAGACAGAGTCTTGCTCTGTCACCCAGGCTAGAGTGCCATGGCGTCAGTCTAGCTCACAGCAACCTCAAACTCCTGGGCTCAGGCAATCCTCAGCCTCCCAAGTAGCTAGGACTACAGGTGCGTACCACCATACCCAGCTAATTTTTCTGTTTTTAGTAGAGATGGGGTCTTGCTCTTGCTCAGGCTGGTCTTGAACTCCTGACCTCAAGTGATCCTCCTGCCTGGGCCTCCCAGAGTGCTAGGATTACAGGCATAAGCTACCTTGCCCGGCATTCCAGCTGTTCTCTTGATCCTGCCAGTAGTCAGCGAATGTCCACCTCCTCCAGGTGCCTTCCCTGATAAATTTTTTTCTATTACCCCTCACATTGCATCTGCTGAGAGATCCTGATCTTGGTGTGTGGGACACACATTCCCTGTCTCCCCCATCAGACTGGGAGCTCTGGTACATTTGGAGTGACTTGCCTGGAGTTCTGCAGCTGTATGCAGCAGGATGCTTGGCTGGCTGATTAATAAACAAGAGAGTCAGTGGCAGCCAGACTAGATTTACATGAGCACTGCCCATAGATCTAGGACAGAAAGTCAGTGACAAGTTGGTGTTGGGAATGGAGGAGTTGGTAATCCAGGAAAACTTCCTACAGGAGGCAGCACAGAAGTAAGTAAAGGCAGTGGTCTGAGGCCCTTTGGACCTGAGACCTCTTAGTGGCACTCTGGATGGAGAGGGAGATGGGTGCTGGAGGACTGCACACCTAATCCTTGAGGAAGGTGAAGACCAGGGAGCTCATATGGGGGTATGGGGTAAGGAGGAGATCTGGTGCCTGGGTTCATATTCATTTGCATTTCCCTCTTGAAATTCAGGAACTTTCTGCTACTTCCTTCTCTACCCCTCATCCTCAATGTTCCCCATGCAGAACAATAAAACCACATTTAGGGTTTTTTTGTTTTGTTTTTACATTTTATTATTAAAAAGTTCAAACAGGGAGAAATTGAAAGAAAGACTTGTACAGTGAACATATCCCTGCCACCCAGATTCTACAATTAACATTTATATTTGCTTTATCACATATCTATCAAGCCATCTCATTTTGTAGTATCTTTCAAAGTTGCAAACATCAGTGCATTTCACATCTAAACCCTTCAGAAGCTTATTGACTGAAGTTCAGCGTTTGTTTCTTTATTTCTCTGTTGGCCAGAGGAAGGCAAAATTTACATACAGTAAAATGCACAAATGTCAAGTCAGTACTTGGTTTTAAAATTGTTTTGCCATCAAGGCTTTGGAGCCAGAGTGCCTGAGTTCAAATCCTGGCTCTGCCACTTGTTTGTGATCTCCAAAAGTTTCGTAACCTCTCTGTGCCTCAGTTTCCTCTTAGGATTTTTGTCAGGATTAGAAGAATTATTAAAGTGTGTAGATCAGTGGCACATGCATGCTAAGTATTATTATTATCATTATTGAGACACACAGAGATGTCATCAAGAAGGGGAGATCATCAGGGTCACCTCCAACTTCCTTAGACCTGGTCTTTCTTCTCTTGACTCCTACTGAGCTGCCCACTTCTACCATTTATTTGGTGCTTGCAGCTTTGTTTTGGTTACTCTTGCATTCCTTTGTCCCTTCATTCATTTATTCCTAAAGAGTTAGTAAGCACCCACTAATGGACGGGGCCCATTTTAGGCCGTGAAGCTCCTTGAGGGTGGGGGGGCCTCACTCTCCCGCCTTCATTCTTAGTGGCAAGGGAAGAAGGCTCCATTTCCATCCCACCTAAGGGAGCCACAGTCAGTGGTGAGGCTGAGGCTTAATTCTGCCTTTCTCATCTTGCACAGGAGGCTAGAGGCGATCGAGGAATGGGAGTAGGTGGGGACCGGTTCCTCTCAAGACCCCAGCCCTTCTCCTCTCACTCCAGCCCTTGACCTCAGAGACGTGGACCAGCTCTCCCTCTAGTACCTACCTCTGGGGTGTAGAAAAATGCAGACCACATTGGAAACCTGGAGATCTGTGCTCTCACTACAGCCTTGCTGCCTGTTTTTCTGCAAGCTACCTTCCCTCCGTGGGCCTCAGTTTGGCCCCCTGGCGAGCCAGATCTCTAAGGCTCCATGAAGTTCTACCCTGCCAGCCTGTTTCTCTACCCCAACTCCTTCCCCAGTTCAGAGAACCCAGGCATCCAGCTGCCCCACCCAGCTCTGGGTAAACAGGAAGCTGGGTGAGGGGAGCAGGGGTGTGTGGAAAGTCCCAGCCAGGTGTGTGGGTCTACAGGGAGTGGGTGGCCCCACCCCTGAAGTATGAAAGCCCCCTGCCCTGGCCCTGCTTTGGAGTCTCAATGGGGCCACTGGGGCTGGAGGGCAGGGGTGGAAGGCCCCTGGGGAAGGGCTCCCTCCTGCTGGCTGTAGCAGGAGCCACTTCCCTGGTGACCCTGTTGCTGGTGGTGCCTGTCACCGTCCTGGCCGTGCTGGCCTTAGTGCCCCAGGATCAGGGAGGTCTGGTGAGTGGCTGCAGCAGGTCCTGGCTGAAGGCCCATCTTGCCAACGCTCACTTCCCTCTGGCTTTGCCTGTGTTTTTTTTTTTTTTTTTTGCCTCATCTGTCTCAGCTGGCCCGGCTGTCCCTAGTGGGGACATTTTGTCTCTTTGCTGACTCTCTTTCCATGTTCCTGTGATGTTGTGTCCTGCTGTCTCCAAGCACCTTCTGTCTCCTCTTCCTGAAACACATCTGTCTCTCTACCAAAGCTCCTGTGCCTAGCTTGCTTTCCCTTCTATGGAGATGTGTTTTGAGGATGGTGCTGGTAGGAGAAACTCCCAAGGCCTGGAGCTTGGGTCCATTTTGGGAGGGGTGGCGCTAACATTAGCGAAATGTGAACTCTGGACATGGTGACCCCACCCAACCAGGTACCAAAGACGGCTGACCCCGGGGCACAGGCCCAGCAAGGACCCGAGCAAGGACCTGGTAAGAGAAGACCATCCCCTCCAGCTGCCCCCCCTCTAGCCCCTCAGGGACTCCCAACTCCTTCGGTGTCCCAGATGCCCTCTTCCTTTAGGAAGCCAGGTGCCCCATCCCTGGGCATTGACACCCTGTCCTCTCGGGGCATGCGCGGGTGCAGCCTGCCTTCAATCGCGAACTCGTTGCCCCTTGCAGGATTTCGGGAGCTGCCGGAGGAGGAGCCAGAAACAGATCTCAGTCCCAGGCTCCCGGCGGCCCACCTCATAGGTAAGGATCTCACAGACCTGAATACGCGCTCAAGTAATCCAAGGGTGCCGGGTCGGCTCGCCCACAGGGTCCCTCGGCTCGGTTATCCCAGTGCTGTTTCCCACCCGCTTCACCACAGCACCCTACAGTGCCCGCCTTCAGCTCGTCCCCCCACTGTAGCTTCTTCCCTCCGGAGCAGGCAAAGCCCAGCCTGGAGGTCCCCGCCACAGCGCGCTGCGCCCCACGTGCAGGCGCCCAGCCCCCAGCTCGGGCCCCTCCGGAGGCGGCGCCGCCCGCGCGCTCGGCTCGTGCAGGGCCGGACGCCGCCGCCTCCCGGGGTCCCGAGCGCGGCCGCCCCTCGGGCCGCGCTCCCCAGACCCGCCCCTTTCTCGGCAGGCGCCTGGACGAAGGGGCAGGGGCTAGGCTGGGAGGCGACGCAGGAAGAGGCGTTTCTGAGCAGCGGGACGCGGTTCTCGGACGCCGAGGGGCTGGCCCTCCCGCAGGACGGCCTCTATTACCTCTACTGTCACGTGGGCTACCGGGGCCGCGCGCCCCCTGCCGGCGGGGCCCGCGCGCTCACGCTGCGCAGCTCGCTGTACCGCGCGGGGGGCGCCTACGGGCCGGGCGCGGCCGAGCTGCTGCTCGAGGGCGCCGAGACGGTGAGCCCGGTGCCCGGCCCCGCCGGGAGGCCAGGGTACGGGCCCCTGTGGTACGCGAGCGTGGGGTTCGGCGGCCTGGTGCAGCTCCGCAGGGGCGAGCGGGTGTACGTCAACATCAGTCGCCCCGACATGGTGGACTACGGGAGAGGGAAGACCTTCTTCGGGGCGGTGATGGTGGGGTGAGGGCCGCCCGCGCCCTGGGAAAACCATTGCACGGTGCGAGTGCGACACCCGGGACCCCACGGCAGCGGGGAAAATGTAGGAGATTGGAAACTGACTTTGAGGCTGATGAAAATAAAGAATGCAAAGCTTCAGCGCTGCCAATGCAGATGCTGAGATGCTAGCGTGTCTTAATTCAGGGTGGCTGCAAAGGTGTGCATTAAATATTCTCTGCATTTTTCTGGTTGCTTGAAAAAATTCATAACACTGCGTATGGCCGTTGTTCCCAAGAATGGTAGTCTGCCTGTCCCGCCAGCCCCCGCCGCTGAACCCAGGCCCCAGCATTAATTAGTCCAACTGGAGGGTAGAAGGAAGGGGATCTTCTCAAACCCCGAAACGTCACCAGGACCACGCGGTCCCCACCAGCCTGTGCACTGCACTCTTTTCTCTTGGGTCCTTCCCAACGGAGGGGCCATTACAGGGGAAGGCAAGCTCTTCTCAGAAAGGCCCAGCCCCAGGGTAAACCCCCAATACTGCTGAGGAATCATGAGAAATGAAGCAGAGCGGGGCACAGTGCTTCTCCCCCTCTGGCTGCCCTTTAGCCCCGACCCCATGGTCAGGTCTTCTAGGAGGAGCAGTAACCAAGGCTCATGGGGCCTGAAGGGAAGAGGCTGAAGGAGAAAGTAGGGGAGAGAGCTGAGGACAGGGGAGGAGACTGGTGACCCAAGACACCAGGGAGGTCTGGGGAGGAGGAAAAACTGATGCCACAGGGTCCCCTCCAGGGTGGGATGGAAAGTCCTCATTTGTTCACACTTTAGGCCTCCCTTCCCAAAAGTGAGCAAGTGTGGGGGCACCTGGGTGAGTAGACCCTCCCCCATGACCCACTTTAAGCCTCAGGCTGGAGAAGGCACAGAAGGACCTAAGGTCCTATCTAGGTCACCCTAGTGGGTCACCCCACCCCAGCTGCATACCACATGGTTTTTCCCTGCCTGGCAGCCCGGTGCTGGAAGGAAACCCCAACTTCTTTTTTTCCTTTTTTTTTTTTTTGTACACTCTCAAAGATGGTAGAGAGTGGACTGCTCCAATAAGGAACAGTCAAAAGCCCAACTTCTTAGCCCAGTGCAGACTGCCACTCTCTGGGGCTCCATTTCTGACTCCTTATTTGCCTTTGTGTCCAGAGGGGCCTTCCGGGGGAAGCAGGTGCTTTTCTCTTTCCAGTTCACCTACTTCACACCCCTCCTCTCATTCTCCATAAAGGCCAGTGAGACCAAGCTGGCAGGTGGGTCCTTCACCCACGTCTTTTTCCCCCTTTTTCTTGGGAGAAGTTCTGAGAACACATCTTATTCCTTGTTCTTTGTCTTCAGCCTCTTCAGTTTCACTCCGTGAGAGAATGGAAGGGGCCAGAGCAGCCAGGGTAGATAAGGGAGTGAGCCAGAACTCACTGAGTGCCTAAGCGACAGGTGGGGGCTGGTGCACTCACAGAGGTTCAGTCTCCTGTTCTCACATGCCTTGTGTGCAGTGGATGCTCCTGTCTCCTACTGATAGATGAGGTCAAGTGCCTGGTTCAGGCTGCACAGTCAGGACAGGGTGATTTGGAGCCCAGACAGTCCCTTGGCTGTGATTCAGGTGCCTGAGAATGTGGCTCCTGCCCAGCTCGCTCAGGCTGCAACAGCAGCCGGAAACCTCACCTGAGCTGCAGGACTTTCCCAGCAGGGACTGGAATTCCCAGGGTTGGAAATTCCCATGCCCTGAGGGAGAGGTAATTAGGTTCAGGCTCCCGTTTCCTGGGGAGGGGGGTATATTCCACTGGGCTTTGTTTATATAGGGTCTCCTGGCTCCTGGGTCTAAGGAAAGGGCCTGAGTCTGAGGGATCTTAAGCCCTGGCAGAGAGGGCTTCAGGGAGCTGCTTCCCACCCCCTAGGAGAGGCAGATGCAGAATTAATTCCAAGAAAGACCATGTTTCTTTTCTAAGCAAACTTTTATTTCTCGCCACTGACCAGTAGGGCGATTACAGACAGGACTCCCCTGGGGAGCAGAAATTTATCGATGTAGTGACAGTTGGTCACCAAATCAGCATTATTTAGACAACTGGATCAGATAAATATGTTTTTAAAACACAAGCAAAAGGAGGCACAGAGGCCAGGAGGCCAGGTGGGAACAGCCTATAGATCAGCTCTGTTTTCACAGAAAACATGTCTGAGTCAAGGCAGCTTCTACATTGGGTCCCCCAGAATACTCTGGCCTCCCAAATAAATAATTAATCAGTAAATAAATAAATAAAAAATAAATAATAAATAATCGCAAGTGCAAATATAAATAGAGGGGGCTGGCCCCACGAGGAGGGCTTGGCTCCATATCTCAGAGAAGAGTCTGGAAACATCTGAAGAGAGAAAGGCTTGAGGTCCACTCATGTCAACTTCAAGGTGAGGTCTTCTCAAGGGATGCTCTAAAGTGTCCTGACCAGAATCAAAGGCTTCCTGGTCCCCAGATTCCAGATATCCCAGGTTGAATTCAGGGATCAAAATCTTAGGTGCCTAGTGAGTTCTGGAAGCTCCAGTTTGAATTCTTGGTGGTGGCCAATGCTCCATTGTCCAGACCACCCATGCCTGCCTTCTAGGTTTCTAAGTGGTGGTAGTGGTATTCAAAGTTCTAAGCTTGAGGTCTGACCCTGAGCCCTTAATTCCCTTTCTAAGCCAGAAGAGGATGAGGGGGTCTTGAAGGAGTGGCAAATAAAGAAATTGGAGGGGGTGAGGTGTTGGGGAAGGATGGACATCCGTCTCCTTCACAGGGCAATGATCCCAAAGTAGACCTGCCCGGACTCGGCAAAGTCGAGGTAGTCAGGTAAATTGATCTCAGCGCTGAGCCTGTCGCCCCTCTCCAGCTGGAAGACCCCTCCCAGGTAGATGGGCTCATACCAGGGCTTGGCCTCAGCCTCCTCTGAGGTCTCCCTATGGCAGGGGCTCTTGATGGCAGAGAGGAGGTTGACCTTGGTCTGGTAGGAGATGGCAACGCGGCTGATGGTGTGGGTGAGGAGCACGTGGGTGGAAGGGCAGCCTTGGCCCTTGAAGAGGACCTGGGAGTAGATGAGGTACAGCCCGCCGGACGGCACCACCAGCTGGTTGTCTGCCAGCTGCACGCCGTTGGCCAGGAGGGCATTGGCACGCCCACTTATCCACTGCAGCTGTGCCTCCGCTTGGGGGTTTGCTGGAGGGAGGGGAGACAGGGGAGATGTGAGTCAGTGGCCCCGTCAGTTCACTCTCCACATCCTGGTCCTCGAGTTCTGCCCACTCTCACATCCAGTTCCTGTCCCTCTGTCCACCCACATCCCACCAGGCCCCGAGGTTCTGAATATCCCCCTAGAAGGCCTGTGCTGTTCCTCCACCCTCCCCATGAGCTGAGTGAGTCCTCGCCAAGGCCTATCTACCCTCACCCTGAGTGCGCCTCCAAATCCTAGCCTTCCAGGACCTAAGACACGTCCTCAGAGCTCTTACCTACAACATGGGCTACAGGCTTGTCGCTTGGGGTTCGGGAGGATGATCCTGAGAAGGAAAGAGGAAAGAGGAAAGAAAAGGCTGAGACCCTTAAACTTCCTAGACGATATTCTTGTACTTTCACCTTCGTTCCTCCTCCCCAAAACCAAAACTCTAAATTCCCCCATTGCTTCCATCCCAGGACTAACTTCTCCCCCAACCCAACCTAGACTCAAGAGGCACTTACTGAGTGTCTGGGCCAGAGGGCTGCCGTTGACGAGATGGAGGCCACCAGGGAACTGCTGGGGAGAAGGAGAGGGTCAGCATCAGAGGGAGTCACCCCCAAAGGAGAAACAGCTGCCACTAGACAAGTGTGCGCTGTCTGCCCTGACACGTCTGATTTACGTCTGGTTTCCTCTCTCCATTCACCCACTCTTCCTCCATCCAAGAAATTGGAGGGGGTGAGGTGTTGGGGAAGGATGGACATCCGTCTCCTTCACAGGGCAATGATCCCAAAGTAGATTCAAAGCTGTTGAATCCGGGCATTCAACAGCTCTTTCACTGAGCGCCTTGCCCTGCCAGACACCCTGTCTTCATCTTTTCTTATCTCTCTCTGCCCCATCTCTCTGGGTCTCTTGTATCTCCCACATCTCTGTCTCACTGTCTTCATTCACAGCACTCGAGTCTTTCCCATCTCGCTGCTCATATCCACGTCTCTCGCCACATCTCTCTCTCTATGCATATATCTGCTCACTCATTCCTTCATTCATTCACTCACCCCATAAATACTGAGTAGCACCTTCCACGTGCCAGACATCCTGTCTCCCCATCTTTCTCTCTTCTCCCCGATCTCTCCACACAGCTTTCTGCCTCCCCTCTTTCTCCACGTTTTCCCCATCCCTCCCCAGCAGCATGCCCCTTTCGCCCACCCCTCCTCTCTAGTTCTCCTTCTCCCCCGCTTCTCTCTGTGTGGGAGAGTGGACGAAGGCCGTCGAGGCACTCACCTCTTCCCTCTGGGGGCCGATCACCCCGAAGTGCAGCAGGCAGAAGAGCATGGTGGCTCCTGCCACAAGCAGGAAGGAGAAGAGGCTGAGGCACGCGCAGCGCCTGGAGCCCTGGGGCCCCTCTGCCTTCTTGGGAAGCGCCTCTTCAGCCAGCTCTACATCCCGGATCATGCTCTCGGTGCTCATGCTGTCCTTTCCAGAGGGAGCCGCTGTCGCCCGGGCAGTGTGTGTGAGAGGGAGACAGCCTGCCTGGCTGTTTGTCTGGGGGTATGGCTCTGAGGGCTATTCCCAGGGGCTCTGGAGTTGCTTGTCTCCCTCCTGGCTGGGCCCCAGATGTCCTCGCTGAGGGAGCTTCTGCTGGCTGGGTGTGCAGACAGCCGCTTTTATATGCCCGCAGAGCAAGAGGAGGGCGGGGTGGGGTGGCGGGGAAGGCTCTCATTCAACCAGCGGAAAACTTCCTTGGTGGAGAAACCCATGAGCTCATCTGGAGGAAGCGGTAGTGGGCCCTACACCTTCTGTTTCAGTTTCTTCTCCATCACGGGGGCGGGGATTTGGAAAGTTGGGGACACCCAGACATGGAGGATACTCCCCACACTCCCCACTTGGATTCTGAGGCGGGCTTCCTGGGCCAGTCACTCGTGCATGTGTGTGTATGCGTGTGTGTGTGTGTGTGTGTGTGTGTGTGTGTGTGTGTGTGAGAGAGAGAGAGACTCTGGAGGCTGGACCCCATCCCCCTACCCCACATCCCCAGCGCCTATTGTCTCCATTTCTTTTGGGGACCAGATCTGTGGCCTGTGTTCCTCTGATTTCCAGACAGGAGTCATATGGGAGTAGAACTAGATAGAAATGGGAGGGGCTTTAGAAAGCTGAGTCCTCCAGGCAGAGAAGACGAGAGGGCGGTGGGGGAGCTGTGCTGGGTCCTGAGCCCATGTCTGGATCTCTGCAGGGGGAGGAGTGGGGACAGGGCAGCCTGACACCGGGGGCCTGCCCGGGGCCTCTGGAAGGGCTGGGCAGGGGTAGCAGGGACATGCCTGGGGCAGCCCCAGGGGACTGAAATCAGCCCTGGGAATGCACAGACCCCACTGGGACAGGCCTTCTCCTTTCACTCTGGCCTGGGACTCACACTGTTGGTTTCAGTCTTGCCTTCCAAGAAACTCTCAGGTCCTGGGTTTCTCTGCGAAGCCCTCACCTCTCAGAGCCCCAGTGTGTGGCCATGTCTGCTCAAATGCGCCCACATCTCCTAGTTCTGGAGGCCCTTTCACTCCTCAGAGCCCTCTGCTTGGCCGTGTCTTCTGTCGGAGTCCTAGCCTCCACCCCCACAGTCCTGGGCATTCCCCTCCCCTTTGCTGGGGTCACTTCTCCCCATAACCCCCATTCCTCAGGGCCTCTACATGTGGCCAGATCTCCCGGAGCCCTGGGACGCCGCCCCTTCAGACCTAGACTCCCGCTTCCCCTTGTCTTCTCAGCTCCTCCTTCAGCTCCCTGCAGCTGTCTGGCCTTCCTGCCCCCAGGAGCCTTGGGGCCCCTGTGCCCTCCCACGTTCTGCCCCAGCTCCTGTCTCCTCCAAGGCCTCCGTCCCTCCCTCCCTTACAGAGAAAACAGGGAAATTCTCTCCTCCCAGACAGACAGACATAAGCCGACAGCATTTCAGAGAAAAAAGGTTTATTGGGCTTCATCGAGGTGCGGATGCCTCCGTGTGGGGTGTCTGGCCACGCGGCTGGCGTTCGGGCCTCCAAGCCCGGCGGGCCCTCACTCCTGCTTCCCCTCTCGGTCAGCCTTGTGCGCTGCCCTCTCCTCTTCATCTCTCGGGCCTGTTTCTCTCTCTCTTTTGATGTCCTTCTATTATTCCCCTCTCTCCATTCTCCATAAATAAATAATTTAGTTTCCCGTCATAAATAGCCCCCAAGCTGCCCCATGGGCTGCTCCCCCTCCGTGTCCGTGTCCGGGCCAGGCCCCGCCTCACCGGCGGGACACAGTCTGGGCTGGGAATTTCTAGGTGGGCTCGAAATCCTCAGCTGAACATCGGGGGTGGCTCAGAGAGGTGCAGCTCCCTGGGGTGCCTAGAATTCCTTCTTTGGAAGCTCCAGGTGGCTTGAGTGGGGAGACTTGAGACTGTTGGACTGGTCAAAAGAGAGGTGCGGTGACCTGAAACAGTCAGAGTGGAGGCGAAACCAGGAGAAGGCCTTGAAACCAAATATTTTTTCTTTCTGGATTTTTCCAAGTTCTACAAAGCAAAGGCTCCAAAGAAGACGCTACTAGGACTGAGGAGTAGGTGGGGGATGCCGTCTGTGTGAGTGGACAGCTGGTCTCCCTGGGTGAGCAGGAACGCCGCCCCGTGGTACATGGAGTGCAGCCAAGGTCCCTGCGGCCCTGGGCACACGGTCTTCTGGGCGCTGAGGAGAGGCACGTGGAAGGGGTACTGGGAGGAGAAGAGCTGGACTTCATGGGCCAGGTAGAGAGGGGTGGGGGTGGCCTCAGGGGGGCAGGCTTGCCCTGAGAAGACCACCTGGGAGTAGACGAAGTAGATACCACTGGCAGGGACCAGGAGGGAGTTGTTGCTCAGAGAGAAGCCATGCTGCAGGAAGGCGCGGTCCGTGTTTGCTCTCCAGCGTAGTGAGTCTTGCTTGCTGGGGTCTCCTAGGAAGAGCCACAGGGGTGGGGGGGTCAAAGATCTGGGTCAGCGGTCTCAATCCCTGAGGAAGCAGGCACTGGACAACTGAACTCCTGGGGGATGGTTAGGGGAGGGGTGAGAGTGGGCTGCCTCTGTTTCGGGGTGGGGGAAGTTGGGGGAAGGTGGTTGGATGCTTGTGTACCTAAAGGGGAGAAGGAGGAGAGCTGGGGGCTACATGTCTGGGAGGTCAGGTGGATGTTTACCAATGAGGTGAGCAGCAGGTTTGAGGGTGCTGTGGGTGAAGTGCTTCTGGGGGTGCTGATGGGCAGTCTGGGCAGCTGGAGGTGCGAGGCCAACACCAGGGAGCTCCTAGGAGAGAACAGAGTTGAGGGGGGCTCTAGAGCTCAAGATTCAGCTGCACCACCCCAGCAGCCCCCCTCTCCTGCTGCCTCACCTGGGTCGCAGGCAGCAGGGCCAGCAGCAGAACCAGAAGGAGGAGGTGGAGGGGGGTGCCATGCACCCTCGGGAGGTAGAGACGTCCAGGTGGTGTCATGGGGAGTGAACCTGCAGGGAGAGAGACAGTGAGCGGGGCGGGGCATGCTGCGGAAGACAGATCTCCCGCTGCTGAGGAGATGGCCACCCAGAGACAGAGGGGCCACAGACAGAGAAGGGGACAAGATGCAGACAGGGAACCGCCCCCCGCCAGGAGAGCAGAGGGAGACCGAAAGAGACAGGAAGGGAACAGAAAGGGACGTGCAGAAACAGAGAATGTGTGACAGAGACAGACTGACAGATGGAGAGTCAGAGACAGGGAACAAACCAAAACCAAACCCACCGAGGCCCCAGCCCAGGCATGCCAGGGATCCGGGCAGCAGGGCCGGGGCCCAGGGAGAGGGGCAGGACACCTCAGGGTAGGAGATGGGGCAGGAGAGTCTTACCTGCTGTGCGGGGCCTCTGGGCCCGGACGCCTGGGTCCCTTTATAGAGGAAGCGGCAGCGGCAGCGGCAGCGGCAGGCAGCGGGCGGGTTCTAGGTCGGGGCTGGGGCCCGGGGAAGCCCCCAGGGCTTAGAAGATGGTGCCAGTTCAGATGAAGGCAGGAAAGGCTGAGGCCTAGGAGGGAACCACAGGCTGGGGGCTCAGGTGACTGAGTTCTGGGAAAGGGAGCGGGGTCAGAGGAACCGTGGGCTGGGAGGGCCAGGGAGTGGGGTCAGGCTTAGGTGTTCCAGAGAAATAATAGCCAATTCGGGGAGGAGGCGGCTGAGTGAGCGGCTGGGGTGTGGGCTGGAGCCTGGGGTCCCTGAAGAGCGGTCATATATGACACTTCTGCACCCTCGGCCAACTATGGGCTTCGCTCTTTGCCTGTTTCCTTCTTTTGTACTCCTTCCTGTCCCTGTCCCAGACAACTCAAGTCACACTTGTTCTTGGCCTAGTGTGTGTACTTTCCAGCTCATCTGGCAGATTTCATGTCAAGAAGTTCCTTTATATACCTCATTGCCTGGACATCCTGGTGTATGCATATTGTCCTGGTGAAAAAACTATATATATATTTTTGTTTGTTTTGTTTTGTTTTTTTTTGAGACGGTCTCACTCTGTTGCCTGGGCTAGAGTACAGTGGCATCAGCCTAGCTCACAGCAACTTCAAACTCCTGGGCTCAAGCGATCCTTCTGCCTCAGCCTCCTGAGTAGCTGGGACTACAGGCATGTGCCACCATGCCCGGCTAACTTTTTGTATATTTTTAGTTGTCCAGCTAATTTCTTTCTATTTATAGTAGAGACGGGGTCTCACTCTTGCTCAGGTTGGTTTCGAACTCCTGAGCTCAAACGGTCCTCGAGTCTTGGCCTCCCAGATGCTAGGATTACAGGCGTGAGCCACTGCACCTGGCCCTGCACACCTCTTAAGTGTGCAGCTGATGGATTTTGCATGTAGCCACCACCCAGCTCCACACATGTTCAGGTCCCCAAAGGTTCCCAAGTGCCCCCTCCTCTCCAATACCCTCCAAAGATAATAAACCACTTTCTGACCTGTATCACCAAAGATTAGGTCTTCCTGCTTTTGAGCATCATGTAAATGAGATCACATAGAATGTACTTGTTTGTGTTTGGCTTCTTTCAGTCAACATTGTGTTTGTGAGATTCACCCATGTGGTTGCATGTATCAGTAGTGTTTTTTAAAACTGTGATGTAGTATTCTATTATATGAACATACTCTAATGCATTCTTCTGTTGATGGGCATTTGGTTTGTTTCTAGTTTATGGCTAATATGAAAAATGTTGATAAGAACATTCTTATATAGGAGACAATTTTCACTTAGTTTGCAAGTTATAGGTTTAAAAAAACACTAAGTCTCTAAATATTTTATTCACTTTTCATGAGTTTGAGATGATACCAACTGGCCACCTCAAATATTGTTATTACTGCTATGATATTGTGATTTCACTTGAAGGGTTTTAGAGGAGTTGGTGCCAGGGGCTGGTGGTGACCAGAGCTGAAGCCCACTGTTGCACAGGGCTGCTTTCCTTAGGCACAGGCTCCTGAGTGGCTGTGGTGTTCTAAGGCACAAGAGCAACATTCCAGGTGCATATGAGCTATTTCTCCTGTTTCCCTCCCCTACTTGAGGCCCTGCAGCTTTGCCTTTTATACTTTATTAGTCTTAGCTATTATTTCTTTTCATTCTGTAGGGGCAGAAAGAGGTGATACATTTCCTCGCCCATCATAAGGCTCATGGCCCACGCTCCTAACAAAAAACAGGTTAACAAGAGAAAAGCACAACAAGAGAAAAGCTCTGCGAGGAAACGCATGGGTTGTGCAGGTGCGCTGTGTAGCCACGCCCATCACTAGGGCTTATTTTTGGGGTAGGGCTTATATTGCATAAATGCTTAGAAATCCTGCTAGGGCTTATTTTATGGGTAGGTCTTATTTTCAGGGAAACACGGTAGACTGGGGGGGAAGCCCAGCAAGGCCTGTCTGTCCAGACTTTCCTTGGTCTCTCTGCGTAGCATTCCTTCCTCTTGGGTCTGGGGCAAGAGCCCTCCTGGAATGAGTCTCATCATCTCTCATCAGACAAGGCAGACCAGAGAATTTCTTTATAGTTAGGTCTTACACAGAAAGGCAGGGAAAAGTTAAACTAACATTTCTAGGTTTTATGGATGGCTTTGTGAAGGAGGAACTCTAGCTTTTATGACTTGCCTTGGGGAAGAGGAATTCTAGTTTCTGTGGCTTGCCTTGGGAGGGGACAGGGGAGACAGAAGGGCAGGAGAAGTCAGAAAGACCCTGGTCTGAGGCCTTCCAATCTTGGTTCGTTCACAGTACTCAGCATGCAAAGGCACCACACTTTGGGGTATCATGTTCTGAGCCCCAACAGTTCTCATTCCACCTCTTTAGCTATCTCTCTACTCCACAAACACTTACTGAGCACCTTTACAAAGCACTGAGGATACAGATAGGAAAGGCGGTCCTCTGACCTTGGGTAAGTCAGGACGTTAAAGTGAGATGAAGTTCCGTGACAGCAGGCTGACAGCGGCCCACAGAAAAGCCACTGAGCCTAGCCCAGGGCAGAGGTGGGGGCATTCGTAACAGAGGCAGAGAAGGCAGGGGGCACATTCTGGATGGAGGGAGTCTGCGCCAGGACTGGAGGTGGCAGAGGGCCTGGCGTGTGCTGGGACCTGCAGCCGGGTGCGAGCGCAAGGAGCAGAGGTGGGCTCGGGGTGAGCTGAGAGCATGTCCCGAAGGGCCTAGAGATCCGGAAAAGAAGTTTGGATTTTAGAAATATGATGGGGAGCCACCAAAAATTTTAAGCAAGAGAGGGACCTACCTAGTATAGCATGTTAGAAAAATGAATCTGGAAGATGCATGAAGATGGATTGGGATCTGGGGGTCAGGAGACCGGAGGTGAAACTCCAAGCATGGAGACCAGTTAGGAAGGTTTTGCAATAAACCAGCAAGGAGATAACAGGCCCTGCATTAATATCGAGGTAGCGGCAGGAGAATGGAAAGGACAGAGAGTTTCTAGGCAAAACCTACAGGTCCTGGTGGCTGACCAGATACGATGAAGAGAAGTTATGGATGGCTTTTTTAAATTTCTTGGTCTGTATCTCGGTCTTTGTTTTTGAGACAGAGCTTTGCTATGTTGCCCAAGCTAGATTCAGACTCTTGGGCTCAACTCCTGCCTCAGCCTCTTGAGTGGCGGGTTCTACAGGCACATACCACCGTGCCCAGCTCTTCTTGTTCTCTTAACCTCATTATCTCTCACACCAGTGTTGGTTTCCCTCTGGGCCCCTGGTCCTTTCTTTTTCTCTGTGTCCTTCTTTATCTGTTTTTTTCCCCTTCTTTCCTTCCTTTTTTCTTTTCTTTTTCTTTTTTTTTTTTTTTACAGAGTCTCTGTTCTGTTGCCTGGGCTAGAGTGCTGTGGCATCAGCGCTCTCATGGCAACCTTGAGCCCCTGGATTGCTACTGGGTTCAAGCGATCCTCCTGCCTCAGCCTCCCGAGTAGCTGGGTCTACAGGCACGTGCCACCATGACCGGCTAATTTTTTCTATATATATTTTTAGTTGGCCAATTACTTTTTTTCTATTTATAGTAGAGACAGGTCTCGCTCTTGCTCAGGCTGGTCTCAAACTCCTGAGCTCAAACGATCCTCCCGTTTTGGCCTCCCAGAGTGCTAGGATTACAGGCGTGAGCCACTGTGCCCAGCCTCTTTTCCTTCTTGTTGTCTCTTTCTTTTTTTTTTTTTTTTTTTTTTGAGACAGAGTCTCGCTTTGTTGCCCAGGCTAGAGTGAGTGCCGTGGCGTCAACCTAGCTCACAGCAACCTCAAACTCCTGGGCTCGAGTGATCCTTCTGCCTCAGCCTCCCGGGTAGCTGGGACTACAGGCATGCGCCACCATGCCCGGCTAATTTTATATATATATATCAGTTGGCCAATTAAATTTCTTTCTATTTATAGTAGAGACGGGGTCCTCGGCTCTTGGCTCAGGCTGGTTTTGAACTCCTGACCTTGAGCAATCCGCCCGCCTCGGCCTCCCAAGAGCTAGGATTACAGGCGTGAGCCACAGCGCCCGGCCTTTGTTGTCTCTTTCTGCTTCTCTAATGCTATGAGCCGATGGACTGAGAGACGCCATCTAAGCTATATTAAAATATAAAATGCTCTTGCAATTAATAGTGAAAAACAGAAACTTAGGTCCAAGAGGAAGACCTAAGACATTGAAGCACAAAAATGGGAAGGCAAGAAGGAGTGAGACGGAGACCTGAGAGGCAGGCAGGAAGGGCGAGGCCGGCTGAGGCTTGGTGCCATGTGTGTTTGCAATGTGCTGAAGGGTGCTCCTTGCGATGGGCCAACCTTAGTTTCAGTCTCAGTTTCAGAGGTTGCATGAAACTTGCTTTCTTTCTTGGGGAGGCAGAAGTTGGTTTGGGGCTTTCCCTGGGTGGGAGAACTGATGACTGGAGTCTTGTGCCCCAAACTCAGGGAAATACATTCTCTGGTCTCTGTGGAGAAACCAGTGAAATCTCTGAGGACTCCAAATGAGGTTGAAATGACATTAGCCTCAAACTTGAACTCAGCCTCAAAACCTAAATTGGGATTTATTACCAACTTTGACCCTAATCCAAATTTAACCTCAAACCAAATCACAACTCAAACTCAACCCCAACTGTAACCCTAACCTCAAATCTAAACACATCCCAATTCATAAGCCCCCAAATAAAACTTACCTTCTACGCCAACCCAACCCAGCCCTGTTTCTAGAGCTAATCTTGAAACCAACTTATCACCACTCGTAACATGAAACTTAAGTCTGACTCTACATCTAAGTCCAATCTGAGCCACAAACCTTATCCTGCTCTACCCCTTATCCATCCATCCCTGTATTTAATAAGTATTTTAGGCTGGGCGTGGTGGCTCAACGCTTGTAATATCAGCACTTTGGGAAGCTGAGGTGAGAGGCTCGCTTGAGGCCAGGAGTTCAAGACCAGCCTGGGTGACATAGCAAGACCATCTCTACAAAAAAAAAGTATTTGTTGAGTGCCTACTACATGCTGAGCACTGTCCTAGGCAGTAGGGACATAGAGGCAAAGGAGTAAGACGAGGTACTGGCACTTTTGGAGCTTATATTCCAGTGAGACAAGACAGCAAATAAACTGAAGAAGAAATCAGCACATGGTGCTGTGAGAAAATAAGACAGGATGGCGTGATAAGAGGGGCGGGAGCTGCTTTTAAACACAGCAGCCACCGAAGTCCTCTCTGAGTGAGTGAGTTACAAATGACAAGAAAGAATGACCAGATGAATTTGAGAGCAAAGCATTCCAGGCAAAGGAACAGCTACCGCAAAGGCTGGAAGGTGGGAGCGAGCTGAGAGCTGGAGGTGACGGAGGTAGAAAGCAGGTCAGTGTGGCTGGAGCAGATAGCGAGATGGGCCAGGGAGGGCCAGGGCCAGGTCACGCAGGGCCATGCAAGGAGAGGTGAAGCATCCAGATTTCATTCACCCATGAGAAGCCTTTGGAGGGAGAGTGTGTGTGTGGGGGGGGGGTAGGGGGACAGAGAGACAGA